ATATAAGCAATGATGCAATTATCACCATATTGAATGTGGGCTTCAGATAAGGTAAACCTGGAGGTAGCCACCGGGCTGAAAACCAACCTTCTTGCAATCCAAAGCATGACCAAAAATTGCCTTTTTGACTTCAGATCTCACAATCCTCATGTTGGCCTGAGGATTTTGGGAGTTGTAGTCTAAAAAAGCAACCTGCCCAAGTCATTCTCCCAGCCCTGACCTTTACTAATGCTGCCAGGACCTTATGGAAGTCCAGTAGAGTCTGAAGACAAGTGTCCCTTATGATATAAGCAATGATGCAATTATCACCATATTGAATGTGGGCTTCAGATAAGGTAAACCTGGAGGTAGCCACCGGGCTGAAAACCAACCTTCTCCCAGCAAGTTATAGTGAATGAAATCTGCTTCTGTGTACTGAGTTCTGTCCTGGCTCGTGGTTTTCGATCACATCTAGAATGAGACTCAAGAATCAGGAGTCCTTTGGGGAAGAACAGATCCCTGCATTCGGGTCCTTACTTAATCATACACATCCTCCAACACAGCAGCGTTATTCTTCATTCCACGCTATCAGTGTATAAATGAAAGAGCAATTATGGTAATGTCTCAGGAACTAAATACATCAAATGTAGCCAAAGGCTTACAAAGGCTTTATTTTTTAAAAAAATAATCCGTTGCAAATTTGAAAAATGTGTTGTGGAGCGCCCATCTAATTCATTAGGCAGACAGAGATAAGATGTCTGACGCAGCTTCCCCGAATCATGTCTGGGATGCATGCACAGCTAATTCACATACAGTAGATGGCAGGCTTGGCCAGGTTAGAGCACTGTGTGGGTTGCAGAAGTAACAGCATATTCCCTTCTGCACTCATCATTGAGAAGGAAGGCAGAATTTTAGTTGAAGTCCTCCCCATAGTACACTCATTCAGATTTGAGGGTCAAACCTGTGTCAAACAGCAGGGTGGCTTTTGATAGGGGAAATGAAAGGCCTCCATCCACTCAGTGGTGAAGCTCATTGAGATGTAAACCAAGATTGAAAACACAAGATGAACAGAACAGGATCAGTATCTCTTTGCTGGCCAAAATCTGGAAGAACAGGAAGGCATTAGGTTTCCCTTCACTAAGCCATAAAGAAATATAGTCTACTGTTTCTCCAGCATGGTACCTGTTTTGTGGACTTCACAGTGGATGGCTCCTCTGACTTCCCACTGATTTGATCTCTGGGTAAAGCAGCAATTCATGGATACACTCTTTAGCAGCAATTCATAAACATTTTCAGAATGGAGGAAAGCAGACCGTCTGGAAGATTAGCTGGGAATGGCTCTTCAAGGCTTCAGACACAAAACTTTCTCAGACCTAGCAAGAGTTGCTAGCAGTTGAATCAGGGACGTTCTTCAGTTGAAGCATGTGGTTTCCTATTGAGTTATGACATTCTCCTTGTCAGAAAAACAGTCTGGTGCGGTTCAGTTAGGGATGTTAATCCTGCTTTGGGTTGCCCGTGCACGGTAAATAGGACACGGCACACCTCTGTCTCTGTTTCTATTTCCAGGGAGAGAGGCGGGATACAAATCAAATAAATTCCGTATCTCTGTCTTTAAACCATCGGTAAGCAAACCAATCTATCAGGGATGTGCAGTAGCCACCCCCAACCAATTTATGCTTGAATAGGGCATACATACAGTGGACCCTCTACTTACGGAATTAATCCGTATTGGCACGGTGGCTGCAGGTCGAAAAGTCTGTAGGTCGAGTCTCCATTGACTTACAATGCATTGAAACCCGATTAATCCCGTAACCGGCCATTTTTGTTCCATTTTTGTTCCATTTTGTTTTTTTTCTGGTCTGTAGGTCGATTCTCAGGCTGCAAGTCGAACCTAAATTTTGCAGCCAGAGAAGTCTGTAACTCAAAAAGTCTGTAAGTCGAGGGTCCACTGTACAGTTGCTGAAAACTGCCCTGTGCCTTTCTGGTGACACTTTGACCCAGTCCTTGTCATGATCAGTGATGAGATCAGCATATTTGTGGATCTCCATGAAAACCCCCTTCCTGTGAATGGAGGAACATGATTCATAGAATAGTGAAGTTGAAAGGGGCCAATAAGACTATGAAGTCCAACCCCCTGCTCAAGGCAGGAGTGGCTCTGACTAGGGGTGGAGATGGGTCTACACAGCAACATTAGTCTCATCTTCCCAAAGGCACCCTTCTAGCAACTGCACACAGGCCAGCAGGAGTGGGATTTGCATTGCCACAATTAAGAAGGAAAAAAAAGATGGACAGAGGGAGAAATGGGGAGAAAAGACAAGACAGATCCTCCCACGCTAATTTGACCTAGCCATTCAAAGCCCATATAAGGAGAATTCACCATTCACCTACAGTTACACACGCTCGGTCCCAGTAGCAAACTGTTGTTTAGTAAACTAGGTAAGATGGATAAGAAAAAACAAAATTCTAGAATGTGAACCCTAGTTAGCAATGCCAATACAAGTCTTTTATTTTGCCGTACACATACGGTAACTGGTGGATAGAGTGAGTACAAGGAAATATATTGTGGATGGTGACCTGAATCTGATCTCTCCTTTGTGCCTTGGTAGTCAGTAGTGGGAAGTGGTGGCACTGTAGGTTAAATGGCAGAAGCCTCTGTACTGCAAGGTCAGAAGACCAGCCATCGTAAGATTGAATCCACGCGACGGAGGGAGCTTCCGTCACTTGTCCCAGTTCCTGCCAACCTAGCAGTTCGAAAGCATGCAAATGCAAGTAGATAAATGGGAAGGTAACGGCTTTCCGTGTCTAGTCGCGCTGGCCACGTGACCACGGAAACTGTCTTCGGATAAACGCTGGCTCTACGGCTTGGAAATGGGGATGAGCACCGTGCCCTAGAGTTGGACACAATTGGACTAAATGTCAAGGGGAACCTAGTTAGGCTGTTCAGATGAGGCAATAATCAGCACCATCATTTTAGGACTACAGAAGCAATCCTATGGGTCATTGACCCTGTCTAGGAAGCACAGTGGAGAATCAAACTCCCAACCTCTGGCTCTGCAGCCAGATACCTAAAACCATTTTATTGCAGGGTACAGTTGTCACTCACTCTCTCCTTTAATATGAATGGTTCAGCCTTCTTGAGTCCATTTCCTCCGGCTATATTGCTGGTCATCTTTGCTGAAAAACACTTTAATCTCACCAATGATGGATGGAACGTGTAGGAGCCATAGGGTTATTTCTCTACTCTGTGGGCAACCAGCAGCTTTTTGTTCTGCCCCCTAGTTATTCCAGCATCTTACAAATTCCCCTGACTCAGTGTGATTTTGCAAATGTGACACATTAAAAAATGTGGGAACTGTGGGAACTATTGTATGGATGAGTAAAGTTAGCAATATGGAATAGATTGTTCATGTCTTTGTGACCAGTTAGCCAAACCTTCCATGTTTACTGTATGTGTTCAGATGTGTTTAGCTTCAAAAAATCAAAGTGCAATCATCTATAGCTGAAATTTTTATCCCAGGTTTTTTTTTGCATGTCAAAAACCCTCCTGCATATGGGAAGCAACTGAAATTTTGAGAAAATATTTACAAAAACTCAACAATGTCAATATTTTGGTAATGGACAGGTTCTCTCGGCATGACAAGAAGATTCCACAGCCTCTAGAGGAATTCTGCCTATGTATTTATCCCAGACAATATAACATATTGGGGGCTGGGGCGTCCCATGCAGGGCTTTTTTTGGCCAGCCATGATGCCAAGAAGCAAAAGCAGCAAACTGAGGTTCTCAGCAGGTTGACTTTATTCATGGAGGAATGCTATAGTTTTGAGTCAGATCAAGAAAAAGAAAACTAGCTAACTGTAATATTTCTGTTAATCCACAACACACTAGAATTCCTATGGCACCAGAAAATGCCTCTGAATTAACTGAACGTGAAGTCCCATGCATGAATGAGAGCTAATACCAGAATAAATACAACACAAAGGTCATCAATAAGTTTTGTATACAAAGAATGGTATCACTGCAGATGAGTGTGTAAGCCCAAGCTGGCTGATCAAAAAGGTCACTGTTGCTAAATTACTGCAGATGCTCTATGAAATTGCAACATGGGATTTTTCTTGGATAATACAAGACAGAGGCAGTGAGAAGCTCCAGGACAAAACTGAGAGCAAATGAAGAAACACGTAATGGTGACAAGTCAAAGTTGTGCCTTTGCTTTAACGTAATGAAATAAGAAACAAAGGGTTTCTATGTTGTTTTTTAGTTGTTAAGTCGTGTCCGACTCTTCGTGACCTCATGGACCAGAGCACGCCAGGCCCTCCTGTCTTCCACTGCCTCCCGAAGTTGGGTCAAATTCATGTGGTCACTTCAGTGACACTGTCCAGCCATCTCGTCCTCTGTTGTCCCCTTCTCCACTTGCCTTTACACTTTCCCAACATCAGGGTCTTTTCCAGGGAGTCTTAGGGTTTCTATACTTCAATGGTTTGGATCAATGGGAATTCAAATCCCCTCTGTGTCTCTCAGCAGAAAGGTCAACAGATGCAACCCAGAATTGTGGCTTTTACATCCTTTTACTCACGCAGCCTTGGACAAGTTGCACAGTCCCCATATAGCAACAGAATGTTGCTGTTATATGCTGTTCAGTCATTTCTGGCTTATGGCAATCCTGATATTGTTTTCAAGTTACATGAGTGTTTTTCCACTGTCAAGTTTCCATGGCCAAGCGGATATTTGAACCCAGCTCTCCTGAATCCTACTATTATATTCTATCCATTATACTACACTGGCTCTTCAGAGAAGGGAGTAGTAAATTACCTTTGAACACTTTATACATGGAAAATTCTGGGAAGTATCATAATAAGATAGAATAATTTTTAATTTACTTCTCAAGTTATTTATTTCTCAAGTCCAGCCTACGGAAACCTTATGGGCGAATGACCTCCGAAATCGACTTAACAGCATGTTATTATTACTGTTAGGAAGAAACAATAGGGCATGGTGTGTGGTTGAGTGCAGGAAATACTCACAGATAAAATTTGATCCCCTCTCTGTAGTTCTCCACTGAGGTCAGCTGGTCCGCCTGCAAGGATGAATGATACAAAAATGCCTTCACCATCTTCTCCCCCTACGATGTTAAAACCAAGTCCTGTTGAGCCTTTGTGTAGGACAACTTTGCGAGGTTCTCTGTGGAAACAAAAGAACATGGGTTAAGCAAATCCTACTGAGAACGCTCAGTTGTACATATCCTGTTAAGTGATTCTTTTGTGTTTCTAATCATACCAGTTTGACTACGGCATTTCCTTTTTCATCAGCGTGCACAAGCTTATCTCCTAAACACTCTCCTTCATTTCTTTTTAAATACACCACATAAAAATAGACAGCACTTTGTTAAATATTGACTGGAGTCCTACTGGTGTACGCTAAGTACATTTGGTGGAACCGGTGGCTCCTAATTGTGGCTACTCTGTTTCCTCAAAAATAAGACCTATCTTGAAAATAAGCCCTAGTATGATTTTTCAGGATGCTCGTAATATAAGCCCTACCCCAAAAATAAGCCCCAATGAAGCAAAAGCCTACCCTCCATCATTGTGCAGCAACCAGAAGAAGATGACATGACTGTCTTTGAATAAATGTAGATTGTTCTACATGAAAAAAATTAAACATCCCCTGGAAATAAGCCCTAATGCATTTTCTGGAGCAAAAATTAATATAAGACTGTGGTGTTTGCCCTTGTGGCACCTGCTTGTTTTTCCCCTCACAAAGGCTCACATTGCTTTCTCTTCTCCCTGCCACCAGTGGATTACTTCAATCCACAATATAAATGACATATATCAGAACACTTGTCTTGTGAACAGAAACAGAACTTATTTATTGAAGTGAAGCAGATTGAATAATAACAGAAGTTTCTCAGATACACATTATACCTAAGCAAATGATCAACAGTTCTCTCAGTACATACTTCTTTTCTCTTGCTATATCATCACCACCTTCTCTACCTATTTTCCTAATCAGCTCTATCTCTCTCAGTATCTGTTCCCTCTCTCTCTCTCTGACTAACCAGCCCTATCAGACTCCTCCTTCTCCCGCCAAACCTTATGTAGCTACTGACTCCGCCTCTCCAGTCTTCTCATAGGTTCATGCAAATCAGCTCATGAATATGAATGGCATGAGTGATGTGGGCGATCGCCACAAAGACCCTGTCTTATTTTCAGGGAAACATGGTAGTTACAAGGACCTGGGTGCATCTCAGTGTCTTCTGTGCCCACCTGCACAACTGAGACACGCCCTAGGACCTCATCAATTCACCACAACAGGTTACACGAACCTTATGTGGACACCAAGAGGATTCTTGCCCATTTATCAACCTGTGATATGGTACCATTGTTGTTACCAAGAAGTGGATCAGCAAATGGTAGAGGTATCAAACATCTACTAGTTACTCAGTTTAAAATTTTTATAGGCCACCTTTCTCTCCACAGGAGACCCAAGATGGCTTCCCAACAGATAAATAAGAATTTTATATATCATGTTTTTTTAAAAAACAATTAAACATACATGAAGATTAAAAATCAAGATTAAAAAAATTCAAAAACATTTAAAAATATGTAAGTTTGATGGAATAGGGGTAATAAATGTTTTATTTCAGAAAAACCACAATGGCTTATGATGTCATCAGCTTTATGCAGTGTAGCAAAGCTCAGAGAATTTCAAACTATATGTATATTTTTCTTTGCAGCAAATATCGATATATCAGAGACACCCCCTAGGTGCAACACACTTGTGAAGACTGTGGAAGTTTAGCCCCCAAACTGCAGTTTATATGCCAGATGCAGAAATTAATCATGGCTTGTTCAGTTTCACTTTTCTCTCAACTGCTGCCCAATTTCCCTAAATATCCTCAGATCCTCAGCAGTGTATCCCTCATGCGATGCAATACTGTAAACTATAGCCTGATGTTGTACATTCTTTTCTTCAAATCTAATGTTAAAATGTGGGTTTCACCACCACTGATTCGTGAATTGGGTTCAAACTGCAATTTCAGATTCATGTTTGGTGGGCACTCATATACCATGGTTTGCTAGATGGCATTGGTTTATTTAAACTATTTTCACCTATTCTCCTTAAAAAGGACCCAAGGCAGCTTACAAAAATTAAAAGGCAGTTTTTAAGCTAATAACAGTGAATATACAAATCTAAAAAGATCAATGAATACAGTGCCAAAAAACATAAGCAGCACCAAAAGGTACAACAATATATTTTAAAAAAACCCACTTAGCAGCCATTCACACAGGTAAAGCTTGTCTGGAAAAAAAGGTATTTGCCTGCTTATGGAAGGAAAGGAAAGATGGGAGGGAATTCCAAAGTCTGGGGGCAACAACAGTGAAGCCCTCTCCCATTTTCCACCAAACACACCTGTAAAGGTGGTAGGACTAGAAGGAAGATCTCTCCTGGTGATCTTAACACTCGAGCAGGCTCATAAAGATAGCTTGGGATCAAGCCCTTTAGGGTTTCATAGGTTAGAACCAACACTTTTAATTCTGCCTGGAAATGGATCAGTGGGCAGTGGAGCTGCTATAACGGGGGGGGGGGTTGTGTGATCTCTGTGGCCCGGCCCCAGTTCATAACCTGGCTTTTGGGCCTGCTGGAATTTCTTGATATTTTCAATATCAAGAAATTCCATTAAGAGAGTGTTGACAGTCATCCAACCAAGATGTAATCAAGGAATGTGTCATCGTGCTCAAATCAGACCTCTCAAGAAATAGTTGCAATTAGGACACTAGTTTTAACTTTGCAAATATACTCCTGGCCACTGATGAAACCTTGAGCGTCCAGATTCAGAGATGAATCCAGGAGTACCCACAGGCTTTACACCTGCGTTTTCAGGGGGAGTATAATCCCATCCAACAGAGGTGTCATCCCTGTTCCTTGATCTGTCTTTTGACGGGTCAGGAGAACCTCTGCCTTATCTAGATTAAGTCTCCATTTATTCACCCTCATCCATTTCATTGTTGATACTAGACACTGATCTAGAGCAGAAACAACTTCCTCAGCTTGAGATGGCCTTGAGTTGTTTATCATCCACATACTAATGACACCAATATGCCCAGACAATCTCTCCCAGCAGTTTCATGTAGATGTTAAATAACACAGAAGACCAAACAGAATCCCGAGGGACTCCACAGGCCAGTGGCCAGGGTGTTGAACAACACTACCTTCTGAGTTCTCTCCTCCAGGAAGGACTGGAGCCACCGTAAAACAGTGCTCTCCAAGTCCTGTTCTAGAGAGACAGACCACAAGGATACCATAGTTGATGGTATCAAAAGCCGCTGAGAGGTCCAGCAGACCCAACAGGGACATACTCCCCTTGTCCAGTTTCAGGTGTAGGCCATCCACCAAGGTGACTAAGCCAGTCTATGTCCCATAACTAGGACTGATGCCAGATTGAAATGGATCTAGATAACCATCCAGGAACCTTTGGAGTTGAGAAGCCATGATCTGCTTCAACACCTTGCTAAAGAATGGAATATTAGAGACAGGTTGGTAGTTATTCAGCATTGTGGTTTCTGAGGAGCGCTTTTGGTCTTACTATTGCCTCATTTAAGCATTGGTTCTGGCATCACAATGGGCTTTCAGTTAATGCCATATTTCAAATGTCCTCTTCAAAAAAACACACGCGGACAAACTGCCCCGCATGTAGTAAAGTAGCATACAGGGAGCACTGAAAAGTTTAGCAATTAATGGGCTCCAGTCCTCATTCCACTACTTCAGACTACCACCTCTTCCGGACTAATGTGGAAAATGGCAATAAAACTCCTGACATTTATGATATGGCAGGGGTGTGATTGGAATGGAGGCTAACACTCTCTCACGGGAAAACTTCCCTGGTTACATGTCTGTGGTGGGTGGCCAGAGAACCAAAAGACGGTCAAGTAGCACCAATCCATACTTCTTCTCTCACACAAATGTGCACATATCTTGATGCCAGCCTTCAAGCACCAAGCCCCTTCCCCATCACACTTTTTAACACACTGGGAGGGCCAGGGAAGGATGTACATTTGAAGGGGGGATTTGTCCTTTCTTTCCCTCAGCACTATCTTTTCTCAACTGGGACAGAGGTGAGGAGATTAACTATGGATATCCATTTTTTCCCCCAAAAAGACCAGCGAAGAATTTATGACTGAAAGAATATTTTGCATTTGGCAGTGAGATTGTTTGAAAAGTTACCTCATCCTTTTCCCCCCTGCTATTCCTGTCAGCAAATTGAGAGATGACATTATCAAAAGCGATTTCCCTCAGAAGAGCCGTTTGCTGGATAGACAGATAATGCCAATGGTATTGACAGTACCATTGTGGAACATAATTTTTTTTAAAGAAAGGCTAATTTGGAGAATGTTCTTTGCCCTTCTTGATTCAAAACTGGCAGGATTAGACAAAAGGCAGAGATCCCATCTCCCCACTGGTCTTTCTTCACTTCACACAGCGCCAGGTTATCTTTATAATATCTTAGAATGGCAGAGCTGGAAGGGATCCTATGGGTCATCCAGTCCAGCCCCTGTCAAGCATGCGAGGCAAAAAACGAAAACAAAACAAAAAATACAGGAGAGAGCCTTCTCGGTGGCTGCTCCCAGAGACTGTGGAACTCTCTCCCACAGGAGGCCAGGCTGGCCCCCTCTTGGCTGTCCTTCCGTAGGCAGGCTAAGACCTTCAGGCAAACTTCCTCTCAGTGACCAGCTACCTGAGTGACTGAGTACATGAGGAGTGGCTAGAGGAGTGACTTTTAGATGGATGGTCACGCATTACTGCTCTGACTGGGCCATTAGTATTCTTTGTGTTTGATCATCTCTCAGAGGGATATTTGTCTGTTCCTTTCTAGTATTTGCATACTTATTGTTTTAGCATTAATATTGTCATTTAATGATGTCAGCTTTTTATACTTATTGTCCTTAGCTTTAAATATGGTCTTTGAATGATGTAAACCGCCGTTGTACATTCATTGTTTTCAGCTTTCAATGTTGCCTTTCGAGGATGTAAGCAGCCTTGCGTCCTTTTTTTAAGGAGAATGGTGGGGTAAAAATATTTCAAATAAATAAATACATACATAAATAAATAAAAGGTGATCTGAAGAGAAACCAGAGTGAAATGTTTTAACCTAACAAGAAAGGAGTCCAGTTGCCATGACTCAACTTCCAGATAACCTCACTTGGATGACTGAGAGAATCTTCACATATATACTTCAACTGTTATATTTTAACGGGAGCTGTCATGGAGAAGTCTACTTCTTCAGACATGAGAGTGGGACTGCATGACAAATATTTACACAGTTCTATATGGTCCCAAAACAAAGAGGTTTGATTGTTTCCAGGGCACAAGCGGTTGATGTTGTGTCATTGCACACCTGGCAACGACCATGGAGCCTGGTTGATATTCAGCTTCACTTCCAGGAAGCAAAGTTCAGTAAACAATGACAATGACTGGTGGCTTAATTAATCCCAGGCTATAGATAACGAAGCAGTCTGGCCTTTGAACTGGTACAACTCAATTTACTCCAGATTTTATCACTCAGTTCTCCTGCATGTGTATTACGTATCAAATATCTTTTTTGGCTCATTACCGGTAGATGGAGCTCACAGTTTAGCTACTGAACTGGAAACCTTTTAAAAGAATGCTAGATTAAAAAAAAAAACAACATTTACTTTATTTTTTATTGCTCACAGTAATTGTAGTATTTCAAGCAATAAAGGCTTGAGATGACCTTCTTCCGAAGCATTTCATGCAGCATCCAATAACACTTATATAGTGTTTATCGGAATTATATGTGGAGAAAAATAGAAGTAACAGCAGACCTTGGACGTGATTATTTTCATAATGCTTTAGCCTATGCAACATTATTAGTCAACCTTCGTAACAAATGTTGACATTAACTACATTATTGATGCTTAATGTTAATCATTTTGGAGTGAGTTTCTAAAGCAGTGCATGACATTATTAATTACTCATGCTTTGTCTTCCTTGTGAGGAAGGGCTGGCTGACAGCTTCCTCTTTATGAGAAGGCCTAGTATCCTTTCTTAAATTAATTGTTTTAATTAAGCAAGAATCCTGTAAAACAGAGTTGGGCAGGATTCTGCTACTCCCTCTTCCACTGGGAAATGGTTTTTAGGCCCATGTAACAGAACAGGAAATCTGTGGCCCCATGCCACATTTCCTGAGAAGGTTTAGATTCTAGAGCAGTGGTTTCCAACCTTGGGCCCCAGATCCTGGAACTGCGCAGCTTGCCCCAAGGTCTCACAGACTGGCTTTTCTCTCAGAAAGCACAGTGTGGAATTGAACTCCCTACCTCTGACTTTACAACCAGATACCTAAACCACTGGGCATCTATTACATATTCATTAATGCCTCACATTTTTCCAGAGCAGGGGCCACCGTCTGAATGCATAATAATTCCAAAAGGAAAGTTAAGAACAACTCAGTCTGGCAATGAAGAAGAGACAAAGCCTGTCTCCAGGTATGTAAGGGGCACTGTCTGAATGCATAATAATTCCAAAAGGAGAGTTAAGAACTCAGTCTGGCAATGAGGAAGAGACAAAGCCTGTCTCCAGGTATGTATCTTGGATTACAAACGCATTCGCACAGCACAGCAGTTAAAGGCCAAAAGGACCATCGTTAGCCTGTTTGTTCCACCATGAGTTCCATGTAGCTGCAGGGAAGATCAGGAAAGAGTCTGGCAAGATTCAAAAGCATGCTTGTTTTTTGAGGTTTTAGTGATTTGAGAAAGGGGTTCAGAGTGGATGGAGTGCCAGACTAGGACTCAAGAGACCTGGGTTCAAATGCTCCCTCAGCCACTAGGAAATTCACTGCAAGGTGGCAATGTTAAAACCACTCCTTTCAACATCTCTAGAAGTTCCTACTAGAGTTGGTTAATTCAGAAGCTACTAGATGGCACATAACTAAGGGATTATCCACCCTTGTTTGTGCTATTGTCAAAGTTACTGTCTTTTCTCGCGCAACTGTAACTTTTAAAGTTATTTTCATAGGAGGCGTAACCTCACTAAGTACTGTGGAAGAACATCCAACGGACCGTATTGTATTTCCTATTGCTGCCTCATGCTCCATGGTGGGCACTGAGGTGAGGATATGGTGGACATGAAGAGAATTTTATTTTAACAACAGGCCAGAGATCTCTGGATTCAGATTTTTAAAGCAGCTACATGCAACGATTTAAGTTACTTTTGTTAATCACAGAAGTAAATGCGTCTTCTAAAATCAAAACAACAATGGTAAGAAATCTGAAGGAATTTTTACTCTACTTGTACTTAAACTTACTTGCTTTTTAAAAGTGTCACACCTTGAAGCAGTCTCATTACATAGAGTGAAGGGAAGAAACAATAATTAGTCCTCTTCCAGGGATGCTGGCAAGTATTCGGGATTGAGTCCAAAGAATGAGCCCAAGTCTTTGAGCCTGAGACCCAAGACTTGAGTTCAAGTCTCAAGTTGCTTTCCCTGCCCCCGTGAGACTTGGGACTTGGGGATTGGACCCAAAGACTAGGACTGCACATGCACTACCCGCTGATAGGCTGGCACGTTTGCAGAGACAGTGGGCCAATTTCCCTTCCCAGAGCTAGCCTCCGCTTCTGCGCATGTGCCAGCTAATCAGCTGGGCAGTGGGTGCATGGGCAGAGGTAGCAGCCAGCTCCTGGAACGGAAGCTGGGTCTGCTGCCTCTGAGGATGATGGCGACGGTGGAAGGTAGGGAGGCCCATCCCTTAGGGCAGTGGTCCCCAACCTTGGGCCTGCAGATGTTCTTGGACTTCAACTCCCAGAAATCCTGGCCAGCAGAGGTGGTGGTGAAGGCTTCTGGGAGTTGTAGTCCAAGAACATCTGGAGGCCCAAGGTTGGGGACCACTGCCTAAGGGACTCAAAATATGACTCGGAAAAATAGTTCCAAGTTGCAAGTCAAGTCTGAGTCTGCCCCCAAAATGCCTGAGTCAAATCGCTGGTCAGTGAGATTCGGCAGTCAATCATGACTCACGAGTGTCCATCGCTGCCCTCTTCTCAGTTCTTCAGAAAAGATGGCATAAGACATAACAAATAATACTATAATCACTATTATATAGATACATAAGGCATCAAATAAACACAGTCATGATCTGTGCAAAACTAGGGCATGGGTCTTTCTTACCCTTCTAAGGAAATGCTCCGCTGTATGCTCACTGTAGGCGGCCGGGTTACTGTGCTGTGTTGGGAATGGCTGTGTAGACAAGCGGGGAGGGGAAGACAGGACAGAGAATTAATAAAGCCCAATGCAACCATTTGTTCATGGAACCTCTTGGTCTTCTGGTCACAGAAGCTACAGGAATGTCCAAAAATCTCACACCAATCCAAGTTCCCCAGTAGTAATATTCAGGCATGCATAAGAGGGGAAATGTGCCTCTATGGCTACATGGCCCTTCAAGATGTTTGCCCCAGCTCTCACACTGAAGAAGTAACGAGGCACTTATGAAACCAGGGATAGAGAATCTACAGCCTTTCAGATGTTGATGGGCCAGCACTCTCATCATTCTTCACAAGTAGTCAGGGGGCTGATGGGACATGGAGTCCAATGGCATCCAGAGGGCTGCATGCTTCCCACCCATGCCCTAAAGTGAATTATTATGGGAAGGGATCCTAGCTGAGGGATTAAGCACATGAATTTCATGCTCGGGGTGACAAATGGAGTCCTGGAATCTCCAGTTTAAATGAGATGGGACCAGGTGAGGAGAAAGACCTCTACTTGAAACCTGCTGGAAATGTAGTCCAGTAGAGTAGACAACATTGGCCTAGAGCAGCTGTTTCCATACTGGGGTCCCCAGATGTTTGCCTTCAATTCCCAGAAGTACTAGGCAGGTTGTCAATAGTCAGGGTTTTTGAGAGGATCCGAGAACCTAAGTTTAGTCTGATCCGGCATAAGGCAGCTTCCTGTGTTTCTAATACCACTTTGGGTTCAGGTCATGTGAACTACAGTGGTGCCCCGCTTGGCGATTACCTCTTTAGACAACAAAATTGCTTGACAATGAGTATTTTGCAATCGCTATAGCGATCGCAAAACAATGTTTGTATGGGGAAAATCCGCTTGATGACGATCGGTTCCCTGCTTTGGGAACTGATTTTTCGCTAAATGACGATCTAAAAACAGCTGATTGGCAGCACTCAGAATGGTTCCCCACTGTTTTGCTGACCTCATTTCGCAAGAAAGGGAGTGGAAAATGGCTGCCGTATGGAGGATTTTCACTGCACAAGCAGGTATTTCCCTCATTGGAAAGCATTGACCGGTTTTCAGTGCATTCCAAAGGGTTTTTTTTCACTTGACAATGATTTCGCTGTACAGCGATTTTGCTGGAATCGATTATTGTTGTCAAGCGAGGCACCACTGCAGAAAAAATTGATAAAATGAAGCCATTTCCTCCACAAATATGCATGTCACTTTTCCTGCAATTCTGACCACGACTTCCTTTATGCTACCAGAAAGCATAGTTAGATATCTCCTACTTCCGCACCCCAACCCCATTGTCTCTTCTGCTGGAAAATTTCAACCCCTGGTTGCAGTGAAAGACCTGTTCTACTGGAATGAAAACTACAGTATCTGTGAGATGACCCTGGCCATATTTCAATGCACCATTGCTGGAAGGCAGTTCTATTCCTGAACTAGCCACAACTGTGAAACATGTCAAGAACAGAGAGATTTCTCCCATGCCACTCACCTTTCAGCTGAGAGGGTAAGTAGGGCAGGGAAGAAGCCCACTATTATCTCTGATCAGTGACGGGAAAGGATGGGGAGATTACTGTATACATCTGGGTAAAATCTTCTGGCAAAAGGCCTGTCTGTGGAATTCCATTGTTCCAAAGGGCATTTCTAGATGCTACAACAGCTCAACCCCTTTTGCAGAATCTCACAGAACATTGGATTACAAGCTATCTCTTCAGGATGAATCTCTGTAGACCCATCCATGAAGGCTCCTCTTGTCTAGAGTACCACGTTTTGTTCAGTAGAGAGAAATGTAGGTGGAGCTGCTTATTCTATTGCAGTGGTTCCCAACCTTAAGTAACCTAGTTGTTCATGGACTGTAACTCCCAGAATCCCCCCAGCCAGTGCAGCTGGTGATGAATCTCCTGGGAATTGCAGTCCAAGAACCCCTGTTTCATTCAATCCACTTTTTCATTCTCTTGTAGACAGAGAAGAACTGTGTCTGTACTGCGGCTTTCCACACCAACTATTTAATTGGGGTAGATGTGTTTGGAATTAAAAACGCAATGAGTAACCAAAATATTTTGGAAATACAACAACACAGAACCAACAAGCATGACACAAATGGAAATGGCTGGTCTGCTTTTTTTCTTCTTCTCGGCAGTATACATGACATCGACAAGTTAACGGAATGCAACAGAAAACGTTCAGTAGACCATTGAGACCAAGATGGCAATTGAGAGAGAGACAATGACGCAAGACAAGTCAAACACAGTTCATTTCCACACCTGTCCTGGGAAAAGCAGTTACATCTGTTTGATATCTTGACAACCCTTTAAAGGAAGCAACTTTTTGGTTGCTTTCCCCACCTGGGAAAGTTTTTTTTAAAAAAAGATGGCGATTGAGAGAGAGACAATGACGCAAGACAAGTCAAACACAGTTCATTTCCACACCCGTCCTGGGAAAAGCAGTTACATCTGTTTGATATCTTGACAACCCTTTAAAGGAAGCACATTTTTGGTTGCTTTCCCCACCTGGGAAAGTTAAAAAAAAAAAAAGAATGACCAAACAAGCCAACCTATGGAACTAGGATTAGTCTGGATGCTCAAGAAGCATGCTAGCAGTTCAAACAAACACAAGGAATGACAAGCTGAAGAACATAACATGCAACTAACACAGTCAAACATTTCTATTTGCAGCATGGATTGGTGGTGAGCAGTACAATTCTCCCCATCCATGGCAGGATCATTTTGTGAACCTTGATTTTTTTTAAAATTATCTTCGGAAGCTGTGGGCTACCAATCTTCCCCACTGTTCCAGGAAGTAATCAACCTGTTTTCTCACATAGCTCATCCACCTCCCTACAACTTCCCCCTGTACCGTGATCTCATGGCTGATGATGTGGACTTGTCCACGAAAGCTCCCATTAAAAAAAATTATAAAAGTTAGTTTTTAAGGTGCCACCATGTTTTTGCCTTTTAAAAATCTTTTATTTTTATTCTGTTTTCATCACAGCGATTCTTTTGGTTTGCTTTCATGGGATTTCAGCTCTCTGAGTGAAGTGGGCTCCCTCTTTTCTGACTTGGAATCAGCATCTCGCCAGCTTTACTTTGGAGGCAAATATCCTTGTAATGTCATTGGTCATTGGGAAAGAAAACACAACCCTTATATTGCAGACATCAATTAGATAGGGTTTAATGTGGCAGAAGACATGCAAAAGTTGGCTTCCTTTCTTCCCCGTGGCTTATTTACACCAACTAACACTACCTGCTCCTTCAAGGAAAGGGTATCGTTTAAAGACAAAGCTTCCCAACCTTGGGTCCTTGGATATTCTTGGACTACAACTCCCAGAAATCTTGGTCAACACAGCTAATGGTGAAGGCTTCTGGGAATTTTAGTCCAAGAACATCTGGGAAGCAAGGTTGGGAACCACTGTTTAAAGATCTTCAGGATCTTCAGGATTTCCCCATGCAAGGCGTAATGCAAAGGTTCCTTCTGCTGCATAGCAAAGTAATTCAAAGCAGATTTTGGAATAGTTACTTTCAGGTCTGCAGCTTTCAGATTATATCCCAGCCAGCATGAACATTGGTTTTGTTGGCTGGGGGACTCAAGGCATTGTAGTCCTCAAAAGTAACTTTTCCAACCATGTACACCTTCAGCTGCAATCCTATACTCTCTTATCTGGGGGTAAGCCCCACCAAATTAAATGGGTCTTACTCCGAGCAGATATGTATAGGACTACATTAGGACTTCTATGCAGATGTAAAGCGTGGGGACAAAAACAGCACAAAATGACATGACCACAGCTGTCTCAAAACATAAGCAGAAAGGAAGAAAATCCAAACTCTATGGTAGAAAGGGACTGAGAAATTTTCAAAAATGAAAGATGAGCAAAGGAGAGTGGAATATTGTTTCGTATTGACACAATATTTAATAATGGAGTCTCATCACGAACATAAGCTAAAGCTGTATGTTCATTTTGCCATGCTGCTGGAGAAGAAGAGTCTTCAAAGCTTGACACACAGTGAGGGCCTCCCTAGTTTCTTCCAGGATCTGCATGTTTATTATATAATAGCAGAGATACTACACTCAGTAATCCTGCTCAAAGTTTTGGGGAGCCGGTCTACCCAGCATGAAAAATCATCATCATGACTTTTGCTGCCATTAAGAAAGATAAGGATGATTAAGACTGTAGTCCCTTTCCCAAACAATTTTGGAAGTAAGCTCCATTAAATGTAGTGGCACTTACTTCTGAGCAAAACTCTACGGGAGTGCACCATAAATGCATTGCCTCCCCACAAAAGGGGTCACCTGCAAAAATGTGGAATTACTGACATAACAGTATGCTGAGAGAGGCAAAGAAAACCATTACTAGAAGCCGGGCTCCCTCTGGAGGTGTGCCAAGCCCCCTCCCTCCCAACCTTCAAGATGGTTTTGAAGACACTGCTCTTTAAAGAAGTATTTGACATCTTCTCTTGAGTCAATCTATAAGTGAATGAGTCAAACCTGCCATTAATTGGTTTTTATTTAGTTTATTTTGTTATCTTCATTTGTAGTTGTGTGTGTGTGTGTGTTTTTTTTAGTTTAATGTTTGGCTTATGAAGTGGGTCTATGAGTTAATGTTCTTGTTTTGATTGTAAACTAGCTAGAGTAATGCCTGGCACTAAGTTAGGCATTGTATAAATATTTGACATATTTGATTTAGCTAGTTCAATCAATCAATCAATCAATCAAAATAGTGAAATATAGTAAGACCCCCATATCAGCAGGATCAGTATCCACTGATTCACTTATCCACGCTCTGAAAAATATTTAAAATGTTAAAAAAGAAAAATTCCCATATGCTAGGGAAATATATTTCCACAATGTCATTACAAGAGGTGGTCACCAGAGAGAGCTGGACACCATGCTATGTATAGCATCCACTATTATAATAGTGTTTGCTATAATCCACATTTTCAGCACCCATGTGGGGCTTGGAAGTGATCCCATATGGATACAGGGGCCCTACTGGAGCTACAAACTAT